TAAATTCAATTTATCTATGTTGCAGCCTGAATCAGACCGAGAGAGTGGAAAACAAAGAAGTATAATGAAAGAGTGTAACCTGGCCCTGTCCCTCCCACTGTGGGCTCTCAGGTCATGAACACCATCATTTAATTTGGTCTTGTGATTAGTTCTACTAACTCTTTTTAAGTTAGTATTAACAGTTTTTCTAAAACTGAGAAAATGGAAGGTTACTGTTCTAAATAATTTAGTCACGATTTCTTTGGGGGGAAAAGGGAGATAAAGTAAAGCCACAGTGAAAGTGAAAATGATCGCACAAAGTTACTAACATCTTTCTCAAAACTTTTTTAGCCTGGGTTGTGAGAGAACTAGCCCTAAAGACGGCACCGCCTCACCCCGGAGGGCTTTATGTAAATCTAAAGAGCTTTGCAGTGACTGCGTTTGCCGTTTCTTTATATTAAAATACAGACCATAATTTATGAAGCGTGAACTGATGAAAATCCTCAGATCAGTGCGTCCCTGTGTGGAAGACTGCTGTTAAACGACAGAGAGGAGAGAGGGGTGAGCAGGGAGGTGTAAAATCGCTTCGCTGGAAAAGACAAACGACGACAGAGGAACGAGGGAGATAAAAAGTGGAGGAAAAAGATGTACTAGTGAATCAGAACATCCCTTTCTACTTTCGCAGCAGCCCAAGACATCCTATTCCACTCTTCCTTGATTCGTCCAGATTAATTCTTCACCCATTTCAAAAACAGCATCCTCAAATGCTAATATATCAAAGTTCTTGAGAGCCAAGTACGTTTGTCTAGATTTTTCCATCCCTGAAAATCGAATGTGAAAATTACTCAAACTTACTGACGCTTTTTACAATTTAAAGAGGCAGCTACGTGACAAAAGAAGCCTGAAGGTAAGCCTGAGGCAAAATCATGTCATGTTAAAAAACATTTTGTTAAATACATAACACTATAATGCACCGCATAAAAAATGGATAGTCATTTTTTGATTCACTAATTTTACAGAGTTATTCAATTATTTCTGTTTTTCACTTTACGTGAAATTTCAGGAAAAAAAACTGGCTGATAAAACTTAATACTACAGCAGCCATTTTAAGTGTACTTCTCGATGACAAAGCTCAAAGACCAGGCCGTGTTAGCGAAATGACGATAAACCAAAGGGAGTGCCCTTTAGAAAATATTCAAAACTATTCCAGATTGTGTTTACAAGACCATGATGACATTACCATGTGCCCCACAGATTCGCTCAGTGAATGCGTGTCTTCAGGGCTGCTCTAATCCATGAACTATGGCAATTTCAACATTTCCATTTATTTTGTGTTTTCAGAGATTATCACAGCGTCCTATTCATTTGTTTTTCCAACCTGCATCTTCTGCCTCACCTCAGGTCTTTAAGCGTGCAAAAGGGGGTTCTTCTAGCAACAACATAAACACACATAGAAAAGTCATAAACAAAGCCTTTAGGCTTCCCTGTATCTTCACTCTGAATATGTAGCCATAGTGCAAGTGTCTCCAGCTAATCCCATTTGACTATTCATGCTAAGGTCATCTTATACGCCACACTCAGAGGAAACAACCTCAGCATACAGCAAGAGAATGAAATCATAATCCGTACGAAGTGCGTGTGGGATAGAGATCGAGGGAGCACATGATCAGAATAAATGGAGTTCTGCTGGAAATATGACATCTTCGATCAAAAACCAAATACTGAAGTCATTCTGATGGACCAATCACTGTGGGTTTAATCGGACTGATGTGGTGTGTCCAGTGGTGTACTCACTGGGCAATTCGGAGCACAAATCCAACGTATCCATGAGTTGAAGCTTGGACACCACTTGCTGTTTCTGAGGAAAATTTGCTTATTTGCCTGATGTGTGTGTGTGTGTGTGTGTGTCCTCACAGGCCACTGAATTTGGGTAATTAAATGTTTAAGTTGGGCAGGACTTCTCAGGCGCGGACACACACACAAGTGCTGCGCTGTGATAAAACCCTCGCTATAATTAAATATGGACTAAATTATAACGCACACACTCGCAGGCGTAAAAATAAAAACACTCTGCCTGTAGGGATTTAATCTGACCATGTATAAGCCCCTCTGCAGCAGCCCGACGCCTCGCTCTCATTCACACTTGGTGGGCTTCCCTTCGCCCCCTGCACCCTTCACCCCACACCCTCAGCCAGTGAGGGACCGCAGAGCCAGTTAATTAGACTCACTAAAGCATTGAGTGAAGAGAATCATAATGCATATATAACGATTCTACAGAGCAACTAATACATGCCTGTATTCAAATGCTCGGAGTGAAGCATGCAGGAAGAGGACAGAAAGAAGATGAGAGGGATGGAGTGAGTGGTCCTGGATATCAAAAAGAGAAGGTAAAGGGGAAATGAGAAATGTGGCACTGTTGGAAAAAATGTGTGACTGAAATAAAGAGCCTGTAAAGATGACAGTGAAACTTGGTCTTCTCCTGTAGGATATACCAGAATGACACACCCAAATTATGATTCACTTTCCATTAAAAACATGTGATCTGGAAGTTTGATAGAAATCAAGTCCCAACACCCAATGTTCTAAAGTTAGGAGTCAATAAGATTTTTTTGTAAAAATTTTTAAGAAATTCATACTGTTATTCAGAAAGGACACATTAAATTGATCAAATGTGACAGTAATGTATTTAGGCATGTATTTAGGCAAAATAAGAAAAATGTACACATCTCCGGCTCTTAATGCATGGTTTTTCCTTCTGAAGCGTCAGTGAGCGTTTGAACCTTCTGTAATAGTTGCATATGAGTCCCTCAGTTGTTCTCAGTGTGAAAGGATGGATCTCAAAATCATAGTCATTTTTGCAAAGGGTTCAAATACAAAAATTCTGTGGGACCAGAAGGATTTTTCTGAAGACACTTTTTTTGCCTGATTATAGTTTTTTCAAACTACCATATGCATTTTTTTTAACATTTCAGTTTTTAGTGTGATTATTATATGTGAAAAGAAATAAAAACAGTTGAATACAATAGTTTGGGTTCTGTTGTTAATTATAACCTTTAATATTATAGTTATGTACCAAATGAGAGGGTTCCTTGTAGAGTTTAAACTAGCATTAGTTGGGAGAGATTTTCTTCCTTAAGAAAACCAAGCTACATGTATCTGTATCGATAATGGCATCAGCAGATGTTATTATGAATAATGAGTTATCGGTATCGGTTGAGAAATTTAGTATCAGTGCATCCCTAGTAACAAATATAAAGTTTACAAAAATACAGGTAACCCAAAGACTAGTATTCATCTACCAAAAAAGATAAATTCTGTAGCTGTGTTCCAAACCTAATGGAGCTGCGTAACAGCATATGAAGGCATCATAGGTTAATTCCCAAAACAAAGCCTTTACCAATAGGTACCCGGCTTGTAAGCAACCCATTTTACAAAAATCTAAAGCTGCATTGCATCACAATCCCAGAATGCATTGTGACAAGCTCAGTAAAAATTTAAGATAGCTAATGAGGTGAAAAATACCAAATACCAAATTCAATACCAAAAGTCTAAAGACAGAAAAACTATTTTGGTCTATTTATTAGTATAACTATTTTAGTCTATTTTGTTTTTGATACTAATTACAGCAATTATTGTCAGCACAACAACACACTAACATCATACTCTATTGGAAATAAGAGTGATAATGTGGTGAGGAAGATTTACCTTGGGCGAGGACGAGGTAAACTCTCTACCTATAACAGCTGAGACAGCTGAGGGTGCCAGAGCCGGTGGAGTGGGTGTTCCTTCAGGAGCTGAGGTCTTTGGTACAGGGCCTCCAGGGGCCACAGCAGGGTTGGGTCCAGCACTAGGAGGCAGAGGGGCCTGGCGTTTGGTGCTCTTCTCGGAGATGCTGCTGTCTACCTCGGATGTGACTGCACCAGAGGATCTGGGCTCATAGAATGGGTTTGATCTAAAAGTGGGAGAACAAACCGCCATATCAGCAAAATAACAATTTGGCGAATCACAGTAGAAATGGGACACTTGTGTTTTTGTTCACACTACAGGTAATTGTCAATTTAGTATACTTAGCCAGTTTAAAACATTTAGATTTTCTGCACCTTTCTACTTGTCTGTATATTACGCTGGCAAATGTGTGTGTGTTGTTGTCTTCAGGTAAACATCAGCAAACATTATTAGCCAATAAAACGCTCTACTGACTATGAGAAGGACCAGGTGCTCCAGAGGTCACACCTCATGAACTTTAACCTATGGCCTCGTCGGAGAGCTCACTGACAGACGGACACAGACGTCCGCTGGCATCAATACACACTGCTGTGTAAAGACCCATCACTCACCAGAGGCACACACATGTACATGAATACACACACACACAATGAGGAGACAGAGCTGAGAAAAGACTGAACAGGTATTCAGCTGAAAGACAAGGTTAAAGACACAAAGTATCCCAAGCTCCCAAGCTTACGGACAAAGACAGAGAGCGAAAGAGCGAGAGTGAGAAAGGAGGGAGGAAAGAGCTGACAGCAATGCAAATAAGTTAAGAAAAGAAAGAAGTGGAAAGTGCAGTCAAAACAAATGGAGGTGAAAGAGAGGACGAGAGACAGAGAGTGAAAGCAAAGCAGAAAGAGAAGGTAGAGGGATCAGAGAACAGTAGGCAATTTTTTTAAATATGTCTCATGTATCGTGTGACTAAGCAAAAATGATAATTTAAAAATAATGATCATTTTAAAAGGGTAATTTCTAGATTATTTTTGTAAAAAAAAAAATTAAAAATCAGTAACTTTTGTTAAATATTAATATACAGCTCGCATTTAGTATAAATATATAATTCAAAAGTTTAAGCTCAGTAAGCTCCGTTTTTAAAGAATCCATACTTTTATTTGGAAAGGATGCATTGATCAAAACAGTAAAGTCATTTATAATGTTACACAAAATATTTTAAATAAATGCTGATCCTTAGAACTTTTTATTCATCAAAGAAATCTAAAAATGCATTGCAGTTTTCACAAAATATTAAGAAGCACAACTGTTTTTAGCACTAATAATAGGAAGAAATGAGCAGCAAATCAGCATATTAGAATGATTTCTGTAGGATCATGTGACAATGAAGACTGGAGTAATGGCTTGTATACATGTATATATATATATATATATATATATATATGTGTGTGCTGTAGTAGAAAGTGACAGTTATTTAACATAGGAAAAATAAACATTTCAGCTTTATAAAGTTACCCTCCTCTGCTCTCCTGTTCGCTACATAACGTCAGGTTTGGAAACGTGCGTCCCTGCTGGAGCACTGCGAGTAAGTGCGAGAAATGCAGAGATGAACAGACAAGGCCAAAGAATGTGGGGAACAACAGAAGCCTTGTTCCTGCTGAAAGAACTCCCTCACCACTTTCTTCTCCTCCGACAAGTGCTTTTCTCCTTCGCTCAAACACGCGCACACACACTCACGCACTACTAATGAACAGTAGAAGAGCAAACAGAGATTTTGTGTGTTCCAGAACTGTTTTGATAACTCAAAAATAACCACTTAAAATGTTCTGCTCTAACCTACAGCCCCTCCAACAGAATATCCCAGAATTCCTTGACTCACTCATCTAGCTCCTCCTCCTCTGTCTTGGTTGTGTTGGCGTACAGGTATTTGCTCATGTCCACCGGCCGGACATTCTTCCTCTTGCTGCTTCTGGGTGGAGAAACTTTAGGCTGGGGTTCGCGTTCAGGTTCATCAAACGGGTTGCCATGTTGAGAAGAGTCCATTTCTATGTCAGCCTCATCAAATGGGTTTGAAGGATAAGAGGTGTTCTGATCATATACAGGCTCCTGATCTCTGATAGTGGACCGCACATGGGGCTTAGGAGATGGTTCTAGAAATACACAAGCAAAAAAAAATGCACATCCACACCTGTATTATATAAATTAAACCTACCATTACAGTACTATTAAATGTATAAACATGAAGAGAAACTATAATTGAAATAAAAATTATGAATAATCTCATGATCATATTAGACAGTTACAGTTACAGTTTCTGTAATAATTTCTGCATACTTTAAATAAAATACATACATGGATCTATCGTTCACAATAAGATCTTTAACATGCATTTAGAAAATAGATTTTCATTTCATGTCAGTTTAATCACCAACTAGTCAATTAGTTGTTTTTGAAAATAGTATCAAATGCATTTACATAATTAAATATCTTAAGAACACTTTTCCAAAATTCAGCTGCAGTAAACATTCCCTTTTCACTTAATACATCATCATGCATCTCAGATTTTGTTAATGAGTACAACCTGCCCTGTTGATAAAGGGGCAAAGGGGTCATACAAAGGGTCAAGGGTCACTCCTTACCATCCTCATCCGGGTCACCAAAGGGGTTAAGGTCAACCGGGTCAATAGGTTCATCGAAGGGGTTAGAGCTCATGTTGCTCTGGTCTTGGTCCTCCTGATCCAGGAAGTTCAACTTACTGATCAGCTCTAAACCATCAATATCCATCCACAGTGATAACAGAACAGGAAGGAAGAGAGAAGAGAACATCACTCATCAGTCCAAAACAATAAGCGAGGACAACCGTTGAATTATCAGGTGAAGCTTTGAATGAAAGCAAAACTGTGGCAAAAACAACCAATAAATAAACTGTTGGCATCTGCATTTTGAAGTGAACCACACAAAGATCCTTCAGGTCCAAAGAGTCGTATGTTCCAGAAGAGCTGATGCAGTGTTTTATTCTGAACTACTACTCACAACATGAGCCAGTGGGCCAAAAAAAAACTGTGTGTGTGTCGGGTGACAGAGTGAAGTGCTCTCTGAGGTGATAAGAAAGGTGTGACGTCTCTGTTCGCGCCACCACCATGTCACCCTGACCCATATTAGGCCATCAGAGTACTCATGACCAGTGGTGTCTTTAAGAACACGTGTTCCAGGATCATCAACTCCATGGTTACAGAAACAAAGCTTTTCGGGGGTAGTTGGGTTCACTACAAACTGCAGAAGGTGGAACGAGGACACAAGATCACAAATGAAAAACGCTAAAAAAGGAGAAATATAGCATGTGGAAAAAAATAATATCAATGAACAGATGCTCTATAACACAGCACAACCACAGGGATGGAAGAAAAGAGGAAAAGGAGAAATACAGATATAGTGAATGAAAGTGAGAGTGAGATAGTGAGAGAGTGTGAATAAAAGAATGAAAGAAGGTGAAAGCTGAAGGACCTTCAGAAGAGGAGGCAGGTTTATTTGCTTGCTTTAGGCAGTCATCTGGTTCTCCATCTATAGAGCTGAGAGCATTCAGCTGCCTCACAATCTCTGCAAACAGCACAACATACAATCAATAAACACACACACACACACACTTGCACACACGCTAACCTGTATAATGCAAAGAGAGGTATGCAATACATACAGACAATATCTGTGTGTGTGTGTGTGTGTGTTGAGGTGTGTCTCTCTGAAAAGAGCCAGAACTGCGTCTTCGCTCTAACAAACTGAAAAACAGATCGGACGTAATCTCTATGGCAACAAAGAGATTCCTAAACCAATACGATGAATAAACAACTCAAGCATTTCCATAGGAGCTCCATACATACACTTATAAAGGGATAAAAGCACATGGGCTTAATGTTAAGACTCCACCATCTGGGGGGTAACGGGAGGCTGGATTATATCACAATGTACCACACACACACACACACACACACACACACACAATCACGCACACATAGACATATGCACATGCAAACACAAACATACACTCATAGGACATGTATTGGGTGGACATTCCTTATACACCGAGATCAAGCTGTGTATGTGTGTGTTTCACACTGTGTATGAAAGAAAAAGCAGCTAATAAACTATGACCAAAAACAGAACAAATGTAAACAAGCACAGCAATAAGCCTCAAAATGCATAAGTAAATGGACACTTGTGCACATACAGAAAGAAACTAAACCACAAAAGGAAAAAGGTAACTGTCACTCAAATGAAACTGAACTGAGACTGGACAGAAATCCTGAAGAGAACACCAAAGATGACATGCTGAAATTTACAAGGGACCAAAAATCCCAAAAATTATTGCTCTCGGGATGTGAAGAGACTTTCAACCAGCATAAAATTTATTTAAAATTTTATGTTTCAGCTTCAAGTTATGATTTTCTTTATTGCTTATTTGCATTTTTGAAAACTTTTGAATAAATTTACAACTTTCTTGAACCCACACGTCTGACATGGATCTGATTTTGCATCCGTTTTTGGAGGCACCGCTGGGATCTCATCGATCCATTGAACTATTGTTGATGCTCCGCAAGGCAAAATAGAGAGTTGAGTATCTCTTCTATTTTTCTGTGGGTTTTCTGCTGTACGAACTGTCGAGTCTAAGAGCTATATCTTGCAGACCCATTTCATTCAACATTCTTGACTGCAGCAAGAGAATGAATTTGGGGTGGACGATGGTTTAATCGTGAAAACTGGGCGCGCTCTGTGGAGGGGAATGGTGATTCGCGGCATTAAATGCGTTGTACACTGTCCAGGGTTTACTGCAGTGTGGATAAGTATTTGTGTTATACACTGTTGAGGGTTTACTGAGGTGTGTAGCGTGAGCTGTTCAGGGTTTACTGCAGCGCAACAATATTTTGAGACACGCTGTGCAGGGTTTACTGCAGCGTGCTGGTCGGATCTGATGCCGTTCTCATTTGGATATAGGCTCGGGGATTAGACTCGAAGATTCGGCTTTAGCAGAACCACACCTTGCGATTAATTTGAGATCCAAATAAGTGTCAGACGGTGATCTAAAAAAGATTAAAAGAAAGAAGTTAATAAAAGTAATGTAACGTAAAGTTAAGTAGAAAAAAAAAAAAAAAAAGAGTAGAATAACTCTACCTATTTCTGTTATTTCTGTTGGAGGTGTCAGCATACGGATTAATGGCATATACATTGACTAGAGGAGGTCCTACTGAGTCTCTGACTGCCCAGATGGCAAGAACTGGCTTGGGAGAGAAAGAGAAAATCATACAAAAGATGATAAAAGATGGATTTAAGGAAATGTGGGGACCGCGTAGACAGAGTGACTGGTTGATGAAGGAAGTCAGTGATAGTAAGAAGCTGTATGTGGATTGCTCAGGCAAAAGGAGTTTTTGACAGATAGGAGTGGAACAGGGTTAAACGTAAGCGAGTTGGCACAAGCTGCGAAAGATGCCACACAAGATGTGTGGGACTCGTTATCTATTGTAACTAATGAGCCAAAATCAGCTGTTGAGAAAAGTCCCAAAGTTGAAGATATTTTTCAATGGCAGGAATATGCTTCACAGTTAAAAAGAGCAATTGGAAAAGCTGGAAAGGATTTCACTGATACTTCTGCTAACGGAGGTATTCAGGTTGCGGCAATTTCTCCTGGCAGTTTGGAGAAAGCTGAGGCTGAGTGGGGTGAATATGTGAAATTATACACAAAACTACCACAATATGGTGACATTGATAATGAAAAGAAAACCGAGCCAACTGCTGGACAATTGAGTCCAGGAGAAGAGGAGTCAACAGCGACTGGTCGAGTGGGGGTGTATAGGTCGATGGGTGTCAGAGATCTGAGCAGCATTGTAAACGCTCCGCCGATTATGAAATCAAACTACACTAATTCTGATTTTTTGGGGGTTTATGGGTTTATGGGTAAACCGTTTATGGGTCTTGACCGTTTATGGGTCTTGACATACTAAATCAGATTGAAGCTGACATATTGTTGACAAGAGGGCAGCTAATGGATCCTTCATTGTCCACACCCATATCAATACTCAATGAGACTGGAATTCCTAGAATGCTGTGATTCGAACTGTGGAAGAATCCACTGATTCTTCAGTGATGCAATATTTCTCTGAAAATTGGCCAAATTTATGGTCTCTCAAACAAAGAAAGAACCAGAAAGATACAAATTTCTAAATGTACACGCCTATTTTTAGATGTGTAAAGTGACGATCTGATAAAAATAATCCCAGAAATACTGAGTGATGATTTAATCTGATTCTTTGTGCATATAGAAGGTTTAAATGACAAAGAATGACATCATAAATCTGTTCCAGTCCCAATATTATCGTTGCAAGTTCGGATAATGTATTGGACTGAATTCTGGGTTGGTGGAAACACTGTGTAGGCACACAGTAGCATTTAGTAGCATTTTGGGAAAACTTAGAACTTATGTTTTGTTTTCAGAAGATACGATTGCGTTTGACTGCAATGAAAGAGTTTGTTTATCGCGTTCTGGCCTCCACCATGACTCTGGCTAAAGCTGTAAACGTAACAGAGACTTGTCATGAGTGGAAATTTGTAATGTCTATATTTACTGATGTTTCGGCAAAAGACTAATTTTACTGTTAGATTGCAAAAAAATAAAAAAATAAAAAATTCTGCCACTCAGCATCACAGCCAAATGCCAATTTCCAGTGGAAAATTATGTTTGTATATGAGCTGATTTGTTGTAAACGAGTAACATATTTGGGTCAGATCACCTGATTTAACACCACTGTTGAACAGGTAAGTTGACGGGTACACTGTTGACGGGTAAGATCCTCTTTTGGCCAAGCGGAGGGCAACCTAAGGGAGGGGGTCACCGCCACTGGGCACCTGCCCAGAAGGGAGGTGTTATATGTGAGATGGTAGCAGAGTTGAGCGGATGCTTGATAGGCCTAAAGCATCGTTAAAGGGGGAACTGTAAAAAGTTACAGCAGACAGTCTGCCTCAGTCTGTCTGTCAGTCAGTCACACCCTGAGGAAAAGGAGCTTATTTATAAAGAGTTAATGGCAATGGGCTTTCAAGAACCATCTGAGACCATGTGATGACAGCCATTTTTCCAGTGAGACGGAAGCTTTTTTTTTTTTAAGACTCTTAACTTTTATAAAGAATATCTCTTTGGATTTGAGACTTTAGTCTTTGCAACTTTACAGATCTTCTTTATGCACCAAGAGCTTGTAACACTCCAAAGATAAAGGAAAAATTGAAATAGCATCATATGACCCCTTTAATTTATAACAGGATCATGAAGTTGGTTGCTTAAAACTGTATAAAAAATGTGGGGATCAGCTTTATGATGAATCCCTGAATGTATGAGGCTGTGATGATATTGAACTAATATGTCTATATCGTAGTTTTTACTCATGCAGGTCTTTAAGACATGCCATAGGACAAACCCAAGACATGGTGGTGGCTAAAGATGAAGACTGCTTTTACGGAAGAGATGGTAAGGAGAGAAGGGCAAAATCCCAATTGGACAGTCCTTGTCCTCGAGGACCTTTTACACATTTGCAATTGGATTTCATTTCTCTACTCTCCGATCATGGGTATAAATATGTATTCGTCATTGTCTGTAAATTATCACGATGGGTAGAGGCTTTTCCGCTACGTACAGCTACAGCTGAAAAGGTTGCCGAAGTTTTGCTCAGAGAGATTTTTCCCAGGTGGGGAATTTTTGAGTCACTGGACAGTGTCCAAGGAACTCATATTACAGGGAAGGTTTTGAAATCCTGTATGAAAATTCTGGGCGTGAAACAAAAATTCCAAATTCCTTATAGACCTCAATCGAAAAGTGTGGAAGCGCAAAATAAATCGATCAAAATGGCTTTACGAGCAAAATTGAGTGAGTATGATAGTGGATGGTTTCGACACCTACCAGCAGAATAAAAATAAAATGAGAAACAAAACAAACAGAATAAAATAAATAATAATAATAATAATAATAAATAAAACTGAAAAGAAAAAAACTTTTAGAATAACAGAATAAAAACAAAAGATTTAATAAAAAAAGAAACAAAAGAATAACAGAAAAAAATGTAATAGAATAGAACCAAGAAACAGAACAGAAAATAACAAAAGAATAGAATAACTATGAAAAAAGAAACAGAAAAAAATAATGGAGAAATCAAAATAAAACCGAACAGATCAAGAAATAGAACCGTTTACAAACAGACATTACAAACTGCAGCCCTGTGGTGGTTTTATGCATGTATAGAAACATCAGATTCACCTGCAAAGGGTCTTCAGATGAAAATGAGCAAGTCTCACCTGTGATCTTGGCGGCCTTCTCCTCCTGGTTCACTCTGTTCTCCTCATCTTCCTCATTCTCTTCCTCAAAATCATCCAGATTACCAATATCAGCCTGCTTCATGCTCATCAGACTGGCCAGACTCTGCATATCTTCATCACTACACACAGAACGAGAAAGAAATAAAAGCACAATATTTTTGATGAAATCATTCATAGATGAGACACAGTACCCAGTTTTTGCATTTTCTGCACTCATTTTGAGGCTAAATGGATTTGAAATGGATTTAAATACAGTAAAATTAAGAATGGATTGAGAACCGTTCACTTATTTCCTGATAACACCTTCCCCAGATTTGAATAAAACACTGACAACTGTTAGTAAAGAGTGAATATGGCCTTCCATTCACTGTGCTTTTGTGTAAAAAGCATTTTGTTATACTGAAGGAGATGGACAGAAGAAGAGAAGAAAGCCAGGTTGACAGAGAGAGCGAGCGAAAGATGAACGTGTAAACGAAATGCCCTTCATGGTCCTGCTCATAAGAGGCAGTGCAATACGGACATGCATTCCAGCCAGGGCATTCACAAGCACGGCGAGATAACGCTCCAGGGTTAACTCCCTCTCTCCCTCCCAATGTCCCTGTCTTCTCCTTCTCTCTGTCTATCTCACACTTCTTTATGGATGCGGTCCAGTCTTTCTTTGGCAGGCATGGAGCTTATTTGAACTTATGTAATGGGGTTTATTTGTGTGCTGTTGACATCATTCCCATGGGTTAAGAGCGGTTACACTTCCGCCGCATAACCTCTGTCACACACACGCCACAAAAGCCACACACATATCTCATATAGCACAACGGTGAAATCACATACACTCATACACGCTTCTTGCTTCCTTTATTTAGAGGCAGGCAGAGATCAGAAAGAAAAAAAGAGGGAATCGTGGATATTGCAAGACGAGTGAAGGAAAGATATTTACACACTCAGGGCCAGTGGCTGGAAATATTCCATCTGACTTGTTTGTTGTGACGCGCATGTCAAAAAGCAACAGCTCACGTCTGGGGTGACAGGATTTGATTTATTTTAGTGTATGCCAGGAGAACGTGAGGTACAGCCTTAAATTTGTGTTTCCTGATATTTTCTGAACAACAGTACCCAGGGTACAACATTTGCATTCTGGCAAGCAGAGAATAGAAATAATAGAAAACATTCAAATGGAAATAATTCTATTGATATATTCTACTCTATTTTCTATAATAATAGAAATAAATATTCATTTATAGTAATCGAAATTTGATTGCCACAATTCTGACCAATGAACTGTATTTTAATGACAAACTAAAAGAAGATCACTCAAAGTGGCAATCGCAGAATCATATTAGATCTTGGATTGCATGTTCTTAAAGCATGAACACTCTGTAGTATGAACACTACCGCTCCATACTACATCTGGCATGTTAGCCATGTGACCTACTACATTAGTCATTAGCCTCAATGGATAGTAATGCGTCCATTGAAAGCATACCTACAAAAAAATCAGAGTATTTAAGCCACAGTCACACTTGACTTTGAGCATGCAAAATTTCTTTGTACACTGCAACCGTCGTGATATGACATCACACTCCACAGCATCTTTTTAAAAACTTCAATTCAACACGTAACATAAGAATACATCTAAAATGTAAAAACTTACAATCTACTCCATTTTCCTGCAGCGGTGCAGTTTTAAATTTATGTTTGTTTAATTCCACTATGAGGTCATGCTTTGACGTATCGATCTGCTCATTCACATGATACGAATTCACAGGTCAGAGTTCACCAAGCCTACTGTAAACTTAGGAACGCAGCAAAATGCGAAACTTTTCGCACAAGCTTGCATTTCCAGTCTGATGCATTCACGTGCATATGAATGGAAGTCAAGGGAAACAAAAAGTGCAGTGTGACCGCCCCTTTAGCTATACTACTCATATGACATATTGCTTTTTGCATACTCTTAGTAGAGAACTAGGAATATTCGTACTAAACAAGTGCATATTTGTACTAAATGAATAGTATCAGGCTCTCTCTATGAAACTCTACCTGTCAAAATCTTAAAGATCATGATTTTTGGAGGAAAAAAAGTCATTTTTGTCAAGTTCTTCAATAAAATAAATACTTTATATATCAAAGATAAAGCTCTTACATTATTTAGCCAAATACTAAATTAATTATACCCATTCAGATCAATTGGCAGAACGATTGAGCATATATATGTGTATAAAAGGCCTCTAATTCCCACACTGGCCAGAACATTCCAGAGAGCGAAAGAGAGAACAACCTCACTGGGGTGCATATGAAGACAGGATGAAATCATAGAGGAAGAGGAAGAGAGGAAGGGATGAGAGGGGGAGAGATCCAGGGAAAGGAATGCTGGGAATGTCAGGTATTGTCACTCCCTGTAACTGAGGCAAAAAAAGAAAGAAATGCACAGAGAGAAAAGGAATAAGAGCTTAATTTGAAGTGGCAGCATTCCTTCAGGGTGGGTGTAGTCAGCTGGTTTTAGATGGTGTAGTGGGCTGCTCTTACGTGGCTTTGCCCTCTCGCAGAAAGATGCAGGACAGGGAGAACTGAAGTGTTGCTGAAACCACTTTCTTGGACAGCGGCTTGAACTTGAGCTTGACGTCTGTCTGTGTGGGCATGGCACTGGCATACTGCTTCATGTTAATGCAGCTGGTGGCCAGCGCTTTCCGACGACCCGACGGAGATTCCTAAAATAACACACACAAAAAACAGAGAGATGCTTAAATACTTCTTAAGCTGAAAAAATAAAAAATTAAACTCATTTACTTCAATTGCTAACAACACAATACAAAAAAAACACAGATAAACTGACATCAGTATGTTTTTAACAGTTTCAAACTCTAAGAATTTGCATATGACAAAATAGCCCCATGGTGCTTTACTAAGAAAAAAAAACAATCAAAAAGAATGAACGAATGTTACTAATCCTTAGTTACACTTACGGGTAAAATCGTCACCTGTTTTAACATGTTCAAAGCCCACACACACACACTAACACCGGGGGAATCCGGCACTCCTGGAACATGTGCATACAAGTTTATATAGACTGTCTCAATGGAGTATAAACTCTGAACAGAATGATAAAAATGATAGCAAATAGAGTGACACTGAATTCTCTATGGTGAGATAAAGCTTCACTTTGATAACATCATGTCAACAACTTTTCAAACAAAGAAAGGTCACATTGAAAGTAAAAGGCGTTCATTTGCCTAAATCATTTAAATAATCAAACTCGGTATTAGTTCATCACCTCTAAGACCAGCAGAGTAAACATACCCAGTCATAATGGTCAATGGCACCCCCTTGTAGGTAAAAGGACTGGAATATTCTAAAGGGATTAGAAAGGAAAGCTGAACTGGCTATTATTCTGCTCTCCAATTCATTGGATTTGTTTATGGTTAGTGAAGTCTAGTAAACATCAATTCTGATATCTCAGGTTATGGATTCAGATTGTGTTTAAAAAAAATAACAATGATAATGGTTTTAAAAAAAATAAGAGAGGAAAAGGGTTTGACACCAGCCATGTGCCAAAATGACTTTAGGGCGACAACATCTAAGAAAAACGGAACAGAACAAAACACTGGGCCACCTGCACACTTTCCATTTGCCAGATAGGTCGGAAACACAGTTGGAGACATTTCCTGACCTGCCTCCTCTTATTTAACAAAGCCAAATAAATATCATCACTTTTATTGTTTGTTCTTGAGGCATTTTCTCAGCTTGCTGACTAAGTATCAGCAATTTCCTCCCGGATGAAAGTACCACGCTCAACCTGTGAAACATGTTTTGACACCATCACACAGGCCACAGTGCAGGGATAGGCAATACAGAAAAATATCAATAAAGATCTCTCAATATTCTTCAGCCCTTTGATGATACTCAATACATATCTAAATATGGCTTAAATTATTTTTTTTAATTAGAGGAACATTTTAATAAAACAGCCAGTATATTTAATGATTAATGCAAGAAGTAAAATACTGTAAAAGTTAAAGATCATCAGTTTCCCCAGTTAATTTCACCAATATTAATACCTATTAATAATATTGCAATATTAATCAACAAATTGTTATGAAAACATTTGACACTAATACATTCACTTGTTAACATCTAAATATAAATTAAAGTACAGAGAAAGAAAGGGAGGGATAAGAGAAAACTTTTAAATCCATTTAGAAAACTAATAATTTGTTATAATCATATAAAAGCTATTTTAATCTGCCAATTAATTATTTTTCATAATTTAATCATTTAATTAGTATATACAAAACAAATGTTTAATATAGAGCATTCTTTTATGAACATATTTGAGTGAAATGCAACTATTCACTGAATCAGAATCATGAACTGGTTAAAAAAAATCAATTCAATTCACCTAAATTGACAATTCGAACACTGGAAACGACTCAAACAAGAAACGTAATGGTCTGATTATTTCTTTTTTCTCCGTCTCATTTACATTTTTACACATTTACACTCTGTACAAGTTTATTCTCTCGCTGTAAGCCATTATTTGGCTTTCTTTTCAGCAAGCACCTTTCATTTCAAGCTTTCTCTACGGGCGAGATATAAGCCATACTGGCCTATTTTTCTGTCTTTTATGCTCTCTTCACTTTTATCTCATCAGGCCTGTTGCGCAGAGTAATCCAAAACAAAATGAGCAGAGAGAGAAATGAAGGCCCCGTGTATAACCTCTCAAAGAGCCTGCATTCATACACTTGCCTGTGCGCATATGTGGAGTGACTACATATAGATCTCCAGATAGAAATCTCGCTCGCAGGCGCACGAGTGCGTGTTTGCATGTATCAGTGGTCCCGTAGGTAAAGAGGAGCCCTTATCAGAGCAGTCTCAGGAAGATTGAGACGCAGAGAGCTGAAGAGTGACTATTTTCGCCTCAGAAATGCCTCAATACAGCTCCATACACAGGACATAAGGGCAGCACACACTGACCCTTCTTCCGGTTTGCTGAAGGTGATTAATCTGACCGAACGGCATCGACGAAGAACACCCCACGTGCTGGTGGCTGAAACACAGACAGAGACATAAAGCGCCTGAGCGCTGACCCGATCAAAACAACAGTGCCGCCTGCCAATCTCGCACACAGACAAATTACCCACAATCCCCCACTCCAGCTGGGACGGGAGATGGTCCTCTGCGACTCCTTCAGTAAATGAAAACGATAAAAGGGAGAAAAAAACCTGCGTCTAAGATTCAAAACCGCTCGCCGACGAAGCCACTTGACATTTGTGTTGACATTTGAGCCCCTGTTGAATCGGTCGGAAATACAGCATGTCATCCCTGAAGAATCCAGCGCTCCAAACCGTGTCTTATCGCTGAGATTATGCACTGGCATTATACCGAGCTAATAGTGCATGTAGGTCCTTTATGAATGAATTTCAAAATGCATCAAACCCTTAAGAAGGATTTAGTCCTTCTCCGAAAAAATACTTAAGAATATGCAAATATGCAGGGAAGAATTAGGTTTAACAGGTTTGACGAGCGCAAACAATGAGGGTGTTCTTTTCCCTGGCTGCCGGTGTCAATCAGAACCCCAGATTACCGTCCAGGGTTATGACAATGTGTAAAATGAAAAGAGACAATAAGACACTTTTAATTTATCGGATGGATCTATCTATCAATACGCAGCTATTGTACCCACAGAATTGCTAAATACCTGGCGGAGAGGGGAGATGAAGGTGCCAGGGTGGCTGACTGCTGCCCCCTGCTGCTCCCTTAAGGAGCATATCACCCTACACACACACACACACACACACACACACACACACCAAAATAGACTCTTCTCTTTCTGAGAGAAGAGTGTCAAACTGTAGTGTTTAAAAACTGAAAATGCATTAAACATCAGTGAGCAGATATATATTTAAAATAAATCAATGTGTCCACGAGAACAACATTTTTCTATCTAATAACAGACTAAAATATTAACATTTGGTCATATTGAGATTATCAACATATGCCAGCAGTCTCATCAATGAATAATAAACATTTTAGATTTTTAGTCAATTTTGACTACATATTGTGGAAAATGTTAACTTTACGTATGTTTTATTAAAGTTTTGTGTATATCCTGCAAAATAACTTTAAACCACCATCACCATTTAATCCCAAAGCAGAGACGTTTAAACCAAAATGTCAGAAAGTGTTTTGCTGATTACATTACTAGCATTGTGCGATTGTATTAAGTTAAAGAAAACATACAAACACACTGTATTAGTTAACTAAAGTTAGGTAACTGTATTAGTTATTGTCAAAATATTAATAAATACTATAATGCTATACTAATACTATACTATGACAGTATATAAATCCTACTAAAACAACACTGCTGCATACTATATGTGCAGTTCAATGTCTACATTGCAATTCTGTATACAAATTCAAATGGCAAGCCTATAGAAATTATATATAAAATGCAACTATTTACAACAATGAAAATGTTTTTTGCCCAACTCCAGTTGACATGTTTGCCATTTTCTGAAAACACAACACCATTAACTGTAAAACAAGATATTAATAATGCAGTAATAAGTGATTAGAAACATTACTCAGGATGACGTCCATGGTGCCATGGCATGTTTGGGTTTACAGTTTTCCCAGTGTATCATGGACATGTTTGCCTGTGACCTGTGCTTAAATGTTTGTTTTGTTAACACGATGATAATCCAACACCGTGACTGAGAGGATAACAGCCACTATACTTCAAATGACGACTATATTCAAGATTTCCCATCTGCATGTATAAGTGTGTGTAATCGTGTGTCCCTGTTAGAGGAGAACACCACCAAACCCCTGCAGGCTCTCACACCTAAAGTGAACCTCAAACTTCCTTTGACTGACATTTCCAGAAAGCCTGAGGAAGAAAGGGGTGCAACCGGGAGCTTCATCCACTTTAGGGTGTGTATGTGTGTAGTGTTTAGGCAGGTGGCAGTCCCAGCTGTCCCAGTATTGATCCACAGCTGGTGCCAGTATGGGGGGTGTGGGTCAGGGCTGTGGGGTTTCCTTCCCAACACACACACACACACAGAGCAGAGGAACAGGACGAGAAGAAAGAGTAATGCTAGGTAAAAAAAAGGATTCCGATTCAAGTCTTGAATCAAGTCAAATTTGTTTAGTATTTTAACTTTTGACTGTTAATTAATTCCCAAATATTGGCTCACAGAACCGGTTCTCGGTTCCCAACCCGAGATGATCCCTGAGGGGATCAGAAATGTAGCTCTATAAAACAAGATGTATCAACATTGAGGGTGTTTGTCAAAGAAATGGGCCACAATAGGCTTTTCCATCAATAAATGCCAGTTGCGAGTTTCTGCATGAACGTGGAGCCGAATATAAATATATAAAGGAAGAGACAAAGAGGGAGAGGACGGATGACACATTTTCAGTTGGCATCACCCAAGGCCTATTTCTGTCTGTCATCACTCATCTGTTGTGATTCAAATGTGATTTCCCCAAATTGTCATTGAGTGGCGCTCACACACACACAGATTAGGGGTAGTGTCATTATTTGTGGGAATTGTTATTGAGGGTAGGGCCGGTGGCTGGGGGATTGCCATTGTTCCAGCTGAAAATAAAAGACGTGCAAAGCCAACAGACCAAGACTTATGGAAATCAAAAATAATACCAGCCACCAAAATAATAAAAGAGCCCAAAACAATACCAGCCTATTATA